GTAGCAAGGGTACCCCAGGTCAGGAGATGGAAGAAGGTCAACCAGACAGGGCAGGTCAACTGCAGGCCATTGACTTTGAAAGAGACCAGATGAAGGAAGCCAGGTGGGTGGGCTCAGCACTTGCTCCCTCTGCTTCACGTGGCAGTGAGGGTGGCCAGGAGAGTGGTAATGCACAGCTTTCCTATTTGCCCCCATGTGTTTGAACTGACCTCTTCTTTGTGGCCTTGGAGTTGAGCTCCTCCCCACAGAAACTCAGCCTGTGCTCTGACCCTGAGCTTGGCACCAAGGGCAGCATGACCTCTGAGCCTCCAGCCCTGCTGGGGGAGGCTTCCAGCATCCTGACTGTCCTGGGCCCCAGGGGCTCCCATTACTGCCACCATATGCTGCTTGGCCAGGCTCCGGCCCAGCAGATGGCCAGGCAGTCCAGCTGCACCAGCCCCTGGAGCCCATTCGCACCCCCAGCCAGGTCCCACTGGCTCCGCATGGGAAGGTCTGTGGCTGTGCTTGTCTGACTCTCCCACCCAGCAACCAGTTTCCTGAAAGGTGAGGAAGGCTTATTTGACCATCTTTGTGACAGGCCCCTAAGATTTAGGGGGCAGTGTGGTGTGGTAGACAAAGCTCTAGATTTGATAGTGAAAGATTCGGGTATGACCACTTCCTGTCTACGTGAAGCTGCCCCATGAAGCCTCCACGTCTGTTAAATGGAACTGAAGCCAGCCCTGTGGTGTTGTTGTAAGAATTAAAAAAACTACATATCATTCCAAGCCTGAGTTAGTTTTCTACAACTGCTCAGTGTAGTGAAAAAAGAGAAAGGGAGATAGAGGAAGGGAATAGGAAGCAGAGTTCAGGTTTCACTGAGGGCTCCTCTCCCCAGGAGGTCTGGCCATTGTTGGGGGTGGACTCTTTGGCTCCTCAGGCTTAGGGCTCCCTGGAGCCCCACACAGAGCTCTGTCATGATTGAGGAATGGTAGAAGGTCTCAGCTACTAGCTGCCTGTTAGAGTCAATAGCTGAGCAGGAGGTACCAGGCTGGCCACGAAGAGGGCATGGCTTGGTCACAACTGGGCTTGGATGCACTGTTTTCTGCATGCCCAGTGTTCCCTGAGCCAGCCTACCACAGGGAAGCTAGGGGCAGGCTGCTCCAGGAAAGTAGGGGTGGGGGGGCGGGGAGGACTAGACGAGCCACTCCCACAGATCTAGGGCATAGGTATCTCTTCAAAAAGAGGATTTTGTGAGTTTGGGAATCCTTGAGTTTGGGAAATGCCGCTTACTCTCCTTTCCTTGTGAAGCAATTCACAACACGTAAGATGCCATCAACTTGTACCATTAAGAAACCAGATCATCTTTGTTCAACCCCATCTTTCCCAAACTTATTTGATCACAAAACTCTTTTTTGGTAGACACCTGCTTCAGGATGGGTGGGAGCAGGTGGTATAGTTTGTTGGAAATGAGTGCTGGCTTTGGGATCCCCCTGCCTTGAGGTGCATCTTGGCTCTACAACTTAGTAGAACTGCTCTTGGGCAAATAACTTGCCTGTCTGTGCCTCTGTTTCTTAATCTGTGATATAAGGAACACTATCTTAGAGGGTGTAGGAGAGCATTAAATGAGATATTTATTATATGTTGAAAGTTTAGAACTATCGCTGGAAGTCGAGGGAGTTCTGTGAACATTATTTGTTGTTATTATTCCATTTTAAATAACAATACTCCTCAGAGCACAGCTTAGGGGGCGGGGTGGTTGACTGTGCCATCTCAAGATTCTCAGACGTGAACGTCCATCGTCTGGAATCCCGGTGGCCTAAGCTCCTGGGCATGGAAAGGGCCAAGGAGGATGCAGTGTCTTACCTGTTGCCTCCACCATCCCTTCAAGAATGACCACAATTTCAAACTCTTCCTGATCCAGCTGGGCCCTCGACATCTCCCAGAAAGGGCTCTTCTCATTGATCTCATGGGAGATGGTGAGTGGCGACACCAGAAAGAGACGGTCATCCCCCGTGTCAAAGCCCACGTTAATGTCCGTTTGGTTCAGGGGGATGAATTCCCCTTCTTTGGTCTGCCGGGACTTGATGAGCTTGGCGCGGATGGAGGCTTCTACGATGTGGGAGTTGCGAAGGTCACCCACCCGGAACATGAGGCAGAGCTTCTCATCCCGCATGGAGATGACCGCGTTGTTGGAAAACATGAGGGTCTCGGCTCTCTTCTTCGGCTGGCTGATCTTGACAAACATGCAGCCCACCATGAAGGCATTGACGATGGAGCCGAGGATGGCCTGGACCAAGAGGAGTATGATCCCCTCTGGGCACTTCTCTGTGATCACCCGAAAGCCGTACCCGATGGTGGTTTCGGTCTCAATGGAGAACAGGAAGGCGGACACGAAGCCACTGAGGTTTTCAACACAGGGAATCCACTCTTGGTCACCGACATGGTCCAGATCACCCCGAATATAAGCAATGAGCCACCAAATGAAACCGAAGAACAGCCAAGTGACGGTGTAGACCATGGTGAAGACAAGCAGGTTGAAGCGCCACTTGAGGTCCACCAGCGTGGTGAAGAGGTCGCTCAGGTACCGGTAGGTCTCCTGGACATTGCCGTGGTGGACGTTGCACTTGCCGCTCTTCTCCATGTAGCGCTGGCGGGGCTTCTTGCCTTCCGCCAGCAGGCGGGTGCGGTCTGTGGCAATGGGGATGTAATCGCGAGCTTGTTTGGGAATCTTCTTAGGGTCCCTGGGAGTGACTCCAATCTCCATATCTTGGTGCATAGCATTCCTAGAATCACCAGCCATAGCTGGGATATGCTGAGTTAAAAAAGACATCATCAGTGAGGTGGACTGTTCTGATTCCCCGAAACATAAGACTTCGAGGGCACTCCTACCTCTGTGCTCTAGCAAAGGCCTCTCATCTAGTGTACAGCGACCGGCCTGGGGAATTCTCAAGGGCAGGGACCATGTTATCTTCTATTATGGGCTGGTATCCCCTGGTGACTAGTACAGGGTCTAACATATAATGGAAGCTCAATAGGTGTTTGTTGAATGAATAAATGAACAGCTCCTAGGCGTGATATACATTAAGTGTTTAAAGAGTCTAAAGAAATCTGGGAGCAAATTTAAAAATAACAATTTCTACAATTTATCAAATGACTACTATCATCCAGGTAATATACATGGACTGTCATTTGCATCCACCACAATAACCCATCAGAATTAGATCTTGTAATCGCCATCATATAAATGCTATGCCATTTGCTTATGTGTCATCTTAATTTCTAATAGTCTCAAAAAAAAAACTGTAAGCTCCACAAGGGCATAATTTTGTGTCTGTTTTGTTCCCTAATACATTCTAGCACCCAGATCATAGCCTGGCACATTCTAGGTACTCAAAAAGTATTCACTGAATAAATAGATAAATAAATAAGAAAACACCCCAAAGAGGTTAAGTGACACCTGGACCACCAAACAAGTACGTGGCACAATCGATATTTGGATTTTTGCTCCTTGGGCCCAAAGCCTGTGCTCTTTTCTTTATATGATCACTCTGTCTCCCTTCTTTTTATCTGAGATCTTAGTAACAGACAGTAATGACAAGGCAGTATGTATCTGATTCACCAGTTATTCACTCATCTATCTGAGAGGGGAGTCCGTGTCTGTCTGAGCACTTACTAATATGACAAATTGCTGGTAGACCCGCCATTACAAACTTTCTTACAGCAATTCGCTGCCCTCTAAGAAACCGGTGTGAACATGAGTATTAATGCTCCAAGATTTTCAAAAGGCTGCAAACTTATACGTGGAATCTAAAAATAAAATCACTTTTATAGATATAGAGAACAGATTGGTGGTTGCCGGAGGGGGCGAGGGGAGGAGGGATAGAGGGTACGAGGTGAGGGGGTGAGTGAAATGGGCGAAGGGGTCAAAAGATACAAACTTCCAGTTATAAGTCCTGAGGATCTAATGTACAGCATGGTGACTATAGTTAATAATCCTGCACTTTATACTTGAAAGTTGCTAAGAGAGTGGATCTTGAAAGTTCTCATCACAAGAAAAAATAGTGTAACTTTGTGTGGTGATGGCTGGTAACTAAACTTATCGTGGTGATCATTTTGTAATATAAACATATATCAAATCATTATCTCATATACCTCTAATACAATGTTATCTGTCAATTCTATCTCAATAAAAATTTTTTAAAAATCTGTAAAATGTTTTTGGAGTATATGCCACACTAAAGAAACACCCAGAAACCTGTAATACTCTATTTTTCCGATATTCTGTTCATACCCATTTAAAAATGCTTTAAGACACTAATGAGGCTAAGAAAGACCATGAGAATCTCTGCAGCTAATAATAGCAGCTTAAATTTCTGAGCATTCATGAGCCAGGCACTGTGCTAGGAAATTTATTTCTATTAGCTCCTTTATAATCTGCATAACAAAGCTATTAGACGAATATTGTTATTATCCCTCCAATCTTTGGACCAAGAAAATGATGCTCAGGAAGTTAAGTGGCTGAGTTAGGTTTGGATCCTGGTTTATCTGGCTTCAGCCTGAGGGCTCACAGCACCCACTGTACACTGGCCTGCAGACTGGATGTTTTATGGTTCATGCTTAGACTGATGAGCTGCTCCCTCCAGAAAGTGCTATGAGTTTCTGATCCTGAGAGAAGTCACTTCCAGGGATATTATCATTCAGCACTTCTTCATCAGCATATGCAAGCTTGTCTTGGTTTCTTAGGTTCTCACCTTTCCTGGAAACTGTTTCTGTGATAGAACAACCTGGATGAGTGTTCTATAAACCATCAAACCAACTGCCTCATTGACTACATGAGAAAGCTTTCACCCACCATAGAAAGTCAGATGATGCTGGCAGACCTTTTCCTCTTCTGCCTGGATGGGTGCAGCAATTTCAAGGTAACCTTTAAAATGTTACATTGAAGCCTCATAGGAAGGGCTGTTTGTCTCAGAAATCCATTGCCCATTTCCCACTCTGCACAGGGCCACCTGCTCCCTGCTCCCTGTCACGACAGTTACAAAGATAAATGAGTGAAGAGCTTGGTGTCGCTTTACAGGATCTCAAGCATGATTTGGCTGTACTCCTAGGTAGGAGACTTTTTACTGAAAATTTGATGGAGAATGCCCAGAAATAGTGAGAAATGCTTCGAATCTCAAGGCCCTGTGTGCCCCTGGGGACCTCAGCTGTTGGAAACCCAGACAGGGTCTAAAGGGGTGCTGCCGTGGACTCCTCAGGCCCCTGAGGTCAGGTAGGGCAGGCACAGTGCCCACAAGGCCTTGGCCGGGGTACCTGGGAAAGCACCTTCTCTTGCCCTCAGCTCTTTCGGGAAAACAGCTTTCTGCTGATTTTCTGCACTGTTTCCTTCTTTATTTTTAAACACCCTTTCATATGTTCTTGTAGGAGAAGGCCTTGTGCTGTCCTGGAAACAGAAAAAGGTTTTCTAGGACACCTCAGCCCAGATCAGAAAACTTCGTGTATCCAGTGGATAGGAAAAGGAGGTTTACTTCCCATCTGATATTGGGATATGTTCTCCAAGAGCACTGCAATTGTCTGCAGAAGCAATTCTTTGCTCAACTCAGGTGAGATCTGGATTCCAGCTCAGCTCCCAACAAACTTGTTCTTTAATTCAAAGAGACAGTCCTAACTGCTATAAACCCCATTTCTGCTCGTCCAGCCCTGCGGGCCATTAGGGGAATCCAGGGAAAGAATGTCTGGATACAAACATAAGTATAAGTGTAAACATATACTCAACCACTCTCTTTGAATTGAAATTTAATGCAATATTCCATTAAGCCTATTTTAAAGATGAAGAAAGAAGCCTAAGCATCTAAGTCAAATATGGAAAAACCCCAGTGAGTGATTTGCAGGGCAGATTTGGAGCTATAAGGCTTGGAGTCTCTACTGCTCAGGTTTGTCAAAGAGCAAAAAAAATCTCGGCTTCCAGGGCCATAGGCCCATGAAAAGAATATTTAGGGATGAAGTTGCTTCTTTAGTGAAAATTTCAAGATCCTTTCTACGCATCTATTCAGCAAGCATTAGTCAAGGAACTACTACAGTTCAGCACCTGTCCAAAAAGCTGGGGATAAAGCAGTGAATAGGATGATGCAGATACAGTTTATATTCTAGAACCCCTTTGAACGTAGAGGTCTGTGCAGAACTGCTTGTGGAGAGAGAGGCAAGGAAAAAGGCTTTGACCAGGGCAAGCCAAGTACCATAGCTGTTCTCTGTAGGACCAGGGAAAGGTATTGACTTGAGCAAATCCTGTTAAACCTCATCGAGTCCATCACTGCTCTTCATCTTTCATCCTTTCCGGTGTCCCTGAATGGGAAGCTGTGCCAAGACATGATTAAAACTCTCAGGAAAGACGGAGCTTAAAGTCCAGCAAAATGGTTTAATCTCTTTGATATACAAACACAAGTGGAGAAAGATCAAAAGAGGCAAAATCAAAAGAAGCTGTGTTTTAAATGATACATTAATGAATGTGTATTAAACAGACTTCTGTATTAAGAATTCAACCTCTCTCTCCCAATGAAAAAAATTCTGTGTCATGGAGGTGATCTAGAACAGAGGTCCCCGACATTTTTGGCACCAGGGACCGGTGCTCCTATGAGAATCTAATGCCTGATGATCTGAAGTGGAGCTGGGGTGGTGATGCTAGCGTGCGGAGCAACTGCAGATACAAAGGGAGCTTCCCTCACTGGCCTGCCACTCACCTCCTGCTATGCAGTCTGGTTCCTTACAGGCCACAGACCGGTACTGGTCAGCGGCCTGGGAGTTGGGACCCCTGCTCTAGAAAGTCAAGAGTTATGGATGAAGAAGCTTGATAGGAACTGCACTTGGTGGTCAACCGGGTTTCCTAAAGGGAGCACTGAGCTGAGAGTTTTGTCTTAGACTCAATTTCCCTACTGTAAAAATGGAAATAGCAGACATCCTTAAAGATCTCCTTTTTCTCTTTTATACATTCTGGGTCAAAGTCTTCATTCCTGAGGTTTGGGATATGGGATGAGGTTGGAGGAAGAGCAATGGAGAAGAATATATCAGATCTCATACTGAGATATTTGTATACTATTCTATATAAATCTAGATGGCTGTACTGGTTGTTAAAATATGAAAATATTCCAAACGGGTTGGTAAATAGGCTGCCGCAATGCCCTCAGAGACCAATCAAGTATATACTAGATACAGAAAGGTGGGATTTTAATGCTCACAAGTTTCCTGCTGCCTCTCTCAGGTATACTCTCCCTGTATACTCCTCCAGACTCAGGGACAGGACACTCACTCCCATGAGTAGGTTATGTTATGGCACAGGTGACTTTAAGAAAGGGAGATCACCTGGGGTGAGCCTGACCTAATCGGATAAGCCTTTAAAGTGACTGGGCTTTCCCTGAAGCAGGAGATTTAGAAGCATGAGAAGAATTAGATAAAAGGGAAATTATCCTTTGCTGGCTTTAAAGATGGATGGGGCCACAGAGCATGGAATGTGGGTGACTTCTAAGAGCTGAGAGGAGCCCCTTGCTGACAGCAGCAAGGACACAGGGACCTCAGTCTTACAATCACAAAGAACTAAATCCTGCCACAACCACAGGAGCTTGGAAGAGGCCCTGAATTTCAGAGGAGAAGATGGCTTTCTGACATCTGAATTTTAGCTTTGTGACACCTGAGCAGAGAACACAGCCCTGTCATGGCTGGACTTCCCACCTGTGAGCTTATAAACAGATGTTGTTTTAAGCCATTAAGTTGGTGGTCATTTCCTACAGCAGAAATAAAACATTAATACAGTCTAGAAGGGGG